CCTGATCAGACTCAGTAGCTCCTCTGATAGTGAGAGTGTCTCTGTTTACAGTGTAACGCTCAGACGGCTGTAACATTACACTGTTGTTTCCACCTTTATACCACTCATATCTCCAGTTACTGTAAAACTCAATCTCACACGTCAGATTGACTGTCTCTCCAGTGAATACAGGACTGTCTGGTGTCACAGTCAGTGTAGATCTGGGTAAATCTGTAAAATATAAAAGCAGATAAAAAATCAAGTGTGAGGCCTACTATGAAGTGTCATATCCTTTTAATCTTTGCATGTAAAATCTTGCACTTTACATTATGTAGGAGCTTGTAGATTAAGTGTTAACTGAATGCAATAACTGTCTATTATACATCTATTGTTTTGTTAGAAAAATGCCTATTTTCATGCTGTTATGAAGAAATAAAAGTGTTCAACTAATACTTTTGGTCTAGCAGCCATATCAATAATTGAATGGTGATTTGTGTCCTTTTTAACAGTCTCTGATCCTCATTCACTGTCAATGAAAAGAGAAGCCAGGACATTCAGCTGTAAATAATGCCATTGTGTTCTAGGGAAGAAAGTCATACAGGTCTGTACAAATATGAGTGTGAGTAAATGATGACATGTTTCATTTGTTGGGCAAACTATTACTCTAATTATTGAGAAATGGTTTAAAATTTCTTTAGAAAGTTAATCTGTAACCTATTTCAATTGTAAAATTTTTCAGGCACAAATAGGACGAAATACGTGCCATCATCAGAGTGACATTCATTACTGAGGTGAAGCTTTTAAACAGTGTACGCTGCCATCACTGTACATATCGTGCCTCTATCACTCTAATTCAGTGCTGAACACAAAGTTTGGTTATTTACAAAACTGACAACTGCATTCTGAACTGAATTTAGCTGCAGTATATACTTGACCATTGTGTTAATCACCTGAGATTGAGGGGATTAGTTCAGCACACAACTGTACGACCCTCACTATGTCTGCAGTTTACATGTAAAGTTTGTACAGAATTTCAGCCTCTGACGCCTGAGGTGGACTGTGAACAGAAGTTTCTCCATAGAATGACTGACTACATTTACTAAAATGTGTAATGCATAATAATTATCAACCACAGAGACCTTTCTTTAAAGTTTGATCAAACTTCAATTTGAATTAAGTTTGCAAAATATCCAGTTTTGTTGTTGAGCAGAAATCTGGACGCTGTGTGTGTTCATGTAGTAGTAGGGCTGGGTGATATGACCAAACAAATTATCACGATAGCATTTTTTATATCAGTCGATAACAATAATTATCATGATACATTTCAAATCTTTATTTCTTTCAAGTTTAAAGGCAGATTTCTGCTCCATAAGTGAAAGTTGTAGAAACCAGACCATTAATTGTGGTTTTAAACTACTCTTTATGGTCAAAACATGACAAAAACTTCCCGTTTTTTTAATTCTTTACACTTTTCCAGTCATTTTTTTCTTAACAAAATAATTATTTTAATAGAAACAAATTTTATTAGTTTCTGCATGTTCTAATGAGTGATATTGTATCAAACTATGAAACAGCTTTGTGTTGCCTGACTTTGACGTGTATATTCAGCTCAGTTTGCAGTGCAGGCTGCAATAATAATATTACTTTTTTTTTTTGTCTCTTAGAAATGCACATTTGGCTTGAGTTAGGATGCAGATGTTAATTTATGTTCATTATCAAAATCAGTAACATCTGTAAAGATTCTAACAACTTATTTTTTATATGGTGAAATTTAATTATTCTGACTGAGTTTTATTAAAATTAACCACTGTTCTAGATCATCATAACCACAGTTAAAACCACACATACAGCACCTCAATACCATGGTAAAAATGTAACTATGTATGGTTTCTAGTATGAAAAACAGTAGTCTAAATATATTTAGTATAAATGCACAAACGCTATAAATTAATAACAAATAAAGACTGTAATTATATTCCATTACTCATTTAATACATTTAATTAATGTCTACATTATATAATAAAATTTGATATGAATATCCCACATTTCTGCCACAATACCATGGTGCATTTAGCATTACTACAGTAAATTCATGGTAAATGATGGTGATTTGTGGATTGAAAAGTCTTCTGACTGTATCGTTGACACAGTGTTTCTCCTGTTTGTCAGCGCTGTTTCATCTGGTTTGAATCTAGTTTAAATCAGCGAGTCATTTGTGTTCTTCTCTGAATTGAAGCTTCACTCTGGATCTCACAGCTGTTTAGTGTCACGAGTAACGCATCTGCTCTTGTGAGCTCACGCTGCGCTGCTGTTTAAACATTATATCGAACATTTATAGAACTCTTGTTATCGTTTTATCAAGGAAAATTATATCACGATAAATTAATTATCGTTATCGTTTTATCACCCGTATCACCTGTAGTAGCGTGAGAACAATGATATTTAACTCACCCGTCACATTGAGAGAAACAGAGCTTGATTGTGATGAGTTTGGTCTTTCATCTCTCTGTCCTCTACACCAGTACTGACCCTGATCAGACTCAGTAGCTCCTCTGATAGTGAGAGTGTCTCTGTTTACAGTGTAACGCTCAGACG